ACACAAGCACACACGCGCACACACACCTGCAGGTGTCCCGCCAGCGCGTCCGCCACCGCGACAGCCCCCATAATCTCAGAGTGCGCCAGCCCCGGCCGCGGCGGACGCTGGATGAGGTGCGACTCATCAAACGACCCGCCCATCGAGTGGTCTACGTGAGCCACCCCCAGGTGCCCGCTGGCGCCGCCCGCGCCCTCCCCTGGCCCCGGCGGCGAGTGCGCGCCCAGGGCGGGGTGCGGCGCGGGCGGGCGGCGGTGGAGCTTGTGGCGGCTGGAGGTCTTAGTCACGCGGCCGTGGCGGGGCAGCGAGACTGGGGGCGAGGGCGGGGGCGAGGCGGGGGTGAGGGCAGGGAGGAGGGGCGGCGGCAGGGGGCAGGCACCGCGATACAGCTGGATGCTGGGGCAGCCCGATGGCGCATTGGGTGACTGATCACGGCTCGACGTTTGGCTGACCTGCACCACAGCCCCTCTTACAACGCAGCCCCTCCTGCCCGTGGCCCCACCCCTGCCATTTCGCCCACGCCTGCAGCAACACCAACACGGCAGTCCGGCCCTCAGGCCCCGCCCGCGGCCCCGCTCACCGTCTCTCCCCCGGTCGTCCGCCCGCCGCAGCGCCTCCACCCCCGCCGCAACCTGCGCCGCCGCCGCCGCGCCGTCGTGGGGCAGCGCAAAGTTGCAACGCGCCTGCGGCCCGCGGATCGCGCGCGCGGCGGCGTCGTACGCGCGCGCAGCTTCCTCCGCCGTGTCGAACGTCCCCAGCCACCGCCGCGCGCCGACCGTGGGATCCCGAATCTCCGCCGCCCACTTGCCCCACGGCCGCTGCCGCACGCCACGATACGTCTTGTTCTTCCCTTTCGACACCACCACCGCAGGAACGCCGCTGCCGGCCCCGCCGGGCGCCTTGGCGGCGCCGCCGGCGCCGCGGGCGCGCGCGGCGGGGGCGGTAGTAGGGCCGTCCTCGTCTCCGAGGTAGTCCTCGTCATCGTCGTCGTCGTCTCCGCCCTCGTAATCGCCGGCCGCCCGCGGCCGTGGTGCGCGCGCGGAGCGGGCGGCGTGCGGCGCGGGGGGGTCGGCGGGCGCCTGTGAACGCACGCGGGCGGGGTTGGGGCGTTCGCAGAGGTGGAGGGAAGGGGTTTGGAAAGGGGGGAAGGGGGTTTGGGGACGGGCGTGCGTGAACGCTCTGCAAGGCAGTGAGGGCTGCAAATTCACAACCTAATGACCTGCCTTTGTGCAGGCATGCGCGCAAGCGCAAGCGCACGCGCACACACAAATGCTCGCGCACGTGGGCACCCACACACGCATGCCCACACGTGCAAGCATGCACTCCCTCCCTCCCTCCCTCTCTCTCTCTCTCTGTCTCTCTCTTGGACACACTCACACACACACACAGTCACACCCACACAC